ATGATTTATCTAGGTAGGATTACTCCAGAATCACCAAGTCTCCTCCTATAGGAGACAGCTCAGAGCACAGGGTGTCTGCTAAAATACAACACATTGAAGACTACACAGTGCTATGTAATAGAGAGTTAAAAACAGGTGACAGACTAGAAGAAGATTTTTCAGTTTGGCACTTGGTTTTAATGTTCCCTTCAGATTTAGGGAGGAATAGCCCTATCCTGCATTGAGCACCAGGCTGGAGGGCAGCCACGGCATGCATGTAATCTGCTACACAGCTGGCAGCATTTTAGGAAACAAATCAGAGAAGGCAACTTGTCTCTGGGTAAACTGTACCTTCAAGTAGCAAATACTGAGCCTCAGTGAGAACTACAGGGTACTCTATAAAAAGCAGGGAGCTGGGTATGGTGCTGTATGCCTATAATCCCAGCAGTTGGGAGGCTGAAGCAGGAGGATCGCTGCAAATTTGAGGCCAGACCTTGCCTCCAAACAAAAAAAAGGGAGGGGGGCAGGGAATGGAGAATTAAGCAGCTTTTGTTTTTTGTTTTTTTTCTTAAGGCTACTGAATCTTAAACAAAAAAAGATACTCATTTTGTGAAGACCTCTGATTAACAATTGGTTTATTAGTAATCTGGCCTATTCTCTCTTGCAAAAGCTATGCTCTTAACAAGCTTTATTCAGTATTTATGACAGTGCCAAACCACAAGACATTTTTCCAAGGCTATGTATTACTTAAAATTCATTCCCTTGGAGTCTAGACACAAATAAATTTGAACCACTCTTTTAATGAAGGCACGTCTTCAGAACTTAATATGACTAGACTCTTAAAACTTTGTTTTTTCTATCTATTATGAAGCCATTGTGTTTGTTTAAATATGGCTCCTTCAAAGATAAGGGAATCAGCTTTACTGATCTTGATTCATATGTTTCTTGTCAAATTGCAGAGTTTTTTTGGTTTTTTGGGGGGTACTAGGGATCAAACTCAGGACCTTGCACTTGCAAGGCAGGCAGCAGCACCACTGACCTAAACCCCTGGCCCTCAAATTGGAGCGTTTTGCAAGGGAACAGTCCATCTAGTAGAAAATTACACAGAATAAACTCCTTTCTTGAATATACACTGCATATATGAAAAGAAGTGATATTTAGGATTCAGTACCAGGGATAGAATACTATTTCTGGTAAAGTTTAACGGCTCTTAATGGTCAATAATGACTCTAATCCCCCAAACAGAATCCATTCTTGATAATCTTCTAGATGAAGCAGACCTTCTTCCTTCTGCACCCAAAGAAAACACACCAAATACAAAAGGATCAATGGGAGAAAAAAGAAACTATCAAAGTGTTGAACCATGATAGTTTATATTTGTGTAGTATTTATATGAGTGAAGACTGTGACATTCTTGGATGTAAAGCTCTGAACAAGCAGCAAGACTGTTAATGCATGCACATCCTAGTCAGTGCAATACTCGGTATCTAGTGTGTCAAGTAAGCACTTTGAGTAAAATCTCTGACAGTACAATATGCTGTCTTCTAATATCACATCTGTGCCCATCAGCAGGACTTATTTCCTTTGAGACTTGATCATAGAATGCAAGGTAAGTTTTGCCAGATAGAGTTATTAAAGTTTTTGTGCCCTTCTGCAGGACAGTAATGCAGAGGGTTTTGTTTGTTTCTTTGCTTTGTTTTTTAATGAGAACCAAGGCCAGATTTATTATCTTTGAAATCAGGAATCAGGAAAGGACAATTATAATGGGTTAAGATGATGGGAAAGACCCATCCAATTGGGATCTTTCTGAATAGATGTAGCTTTCAGAAATATTTATTCTATCCAAACTCATGATTTAATTGTATTTGTCTAGTTGAGGCAAAATTAATACTCAAAGAAATTATTCTTAAGCATCTAGCATTTTTAAATTTTTAATATTTAAACATTTTTTTTTAGTACCCAGAGCCTTCCCACTAATCTGTACACCCAGCCCTTTTAAAATATTGAGGGTCTTGCTAGGCTGAGTTTGAACTTGTGATCCTCTTACCTCAGCTTTCCACAGTGCTGAGATCACAGACTTGCACTTGGTTCTGAGATAGGCTTGGGTTTTTTTTTTTTTTTTTGCAGTTCTGAACCAGTGTCTCATACATGCTAGGCAAGCACTCTACTACTGAGCTACATCCTCACCTTTTCTTTCTACAGACCACTATTCTTTTTTTTTTTTTTTGGTACCCGGGATCAAACTTGGGACCTTGTGCTTGTGAGGCAGGCACTGGAACCACTGAGCTAAATCCCCGGCCAGACCACCATTCTTAAGGAAGCAAAAGAATTAAGTGGGCAGCTTTTCTCTAAACTTCAAACACACCCTACCTAGATCGCCCACCTTGTGGGTACCCCCTAAGACCACATAAAAACCCCCAAGCCTATGCACCCTGACCATAATGTGCTGCCTCTCTTGTGAGGGCCTGCACTCCTTTCTCTCTACTATACTTTCTAAATTCTGCTTGGTAAACCCTTCCATGCATTTTATTTGCAATTGTATTTTTATTATAAAGTAGTAAAACTTTATTACAGAATATTTTGGAACACTATTACAATATTACCACTTCCCAACTTACTTTATATTTTTATTTCTTCACTATACAAATCATAAAACATTTTCAAGTTACTACAAATTTTCCTAAATATTATTTTTAGGGGCTTCATAATATTCTTCTAAGTGTTTTATAATCCACTTTAGTGTAACTCAAGTTTATTCAGTAAATCATTTGAGGTGGATCCATAGCCAATCCTTTGCAAAGGAATAGGTGGATTACTTCTAAACCTTTGTTCTGACATTGCAACAGTTTTAAACACATAACTTGTATTCTAGAATGTTTCTTCTTCTTCTTGTTTTTTGAGACAGGGTCTTCCTATGTAGCCCATGCTGGACTTGAATTTCCAGCAATCCTTCTGCCTCTGCTTTCTGAGTACTGGGATTACAGGTATGAGCTACAACACCCAGCCTAATACTAGTGTATTTTTTTTTCTAATGGTACCAGGGATTGAACTCAGGACCTTGCACTTGCCAGGTAGGTCAGGTGCCACTGAGCTACATCCCCAGCCCTATAATACTGTATTCTTTGTTTTGCTTTGTTTTGGTACTGGGGATCAAACTCAGGACCTGCACTTTCAGGCAGGTGCCAGAACCACTGAGCTAAATCTCCGGCACTACTGTGTTCTTAACATATATGCCTGATTATGACTGACTCTAGGAAGTAAAACACTCAGAGATGATAGTAACTTTATCAAATTATTTTCTAGAGAATCTGTACCAATTTGCAAATGCACAAGCAATGTATAAGTGTCAGTTGATCTGTGTCCTTACCTACAGTAGGCCTTTAAGAAGAGACTGTTATTTTTTGTTGTCAAATCAGAAAGTCAGTCATTCTAAGTCTCAGACGACTACATTTTTTGGGGTGGGGGTGGTGGTGACCAAATCCTGGGATCTGGGCATGCTAAGCAAGTACTCTATCACCGAGCTATAGCCCAGCCCCTTAAGACAGACAGACTCCCTGACATATAACTTTCCTTCCTTTACAAAATTTTTTTTTTGCTCATCATGCCACATTTTGCAAGAGTACATACTTATTGGCGAGTGATCTATATCTGTGGATGTACTTCATTGTACATATGCATGTGTGTATACTTCTATATGCTATTCTTTTTCTCTTTTTTTGAGGCAGGTTCTTACTAGTGGTACAAGCTGGGCTTGAATTTGCAGGAGCCCTTCTGCCTCTGCTTTCTGAGTGCTGGGATTACAGGTGCGAGCCACCACACCCAGCCTATATACTACTGTATTCTTAACCCATATGTCTGCGCATGTGCATTGGTGAGATCATGTATGTTTTAATATTTTTATTAGAATGTTAATATAAAATATATTTTGTTAATATAAAAAATACAGTCAGAAAAAAGGGGAATAAGCTAATTTGATGTGATAGTGATTATAGAGGCATATATAATCTGTTTATTATCTTTTGCCTACTTA